TCTCCTGTAGGAAGTGTGCAATGAGCTCAAGCCTGAACTCAAGTTGGCTGAGCATGCCACCCAACACCCTGTGAACAATTATATTCACCACTGCCATATCGAGCAAGTGATGAAAACATACTGATACCACTGTTGGCTCTTTCTGGAGTAAGACGCCAACTGGTCAGACAGGTCGACCCCCTTCATACCCATATTGTAGTCAAGGTCGGCATGGGGCTTACTCCAGACTATACCACAGTGGTTCGGGGGCAGGTCAACTATGTCTGGGCCATGAATGGTCGCAAGCATGTCCACCTGTTTCTGATCCATCCAGGATATGGCCAACATCCTTGTCACTGAAGTCCGGAAGTTAATGTCACTGCGGGCACTCACATTGAGGTCCTTTGGCAGGAACTTTCGGTTCAGCTGAACTGTCCCCACAGTGTTTTTCTTCCTTGACTGTAGGTATTGGAAAAGTTTGGGCTAGCTCTACCAGTTGTCCAGGTATAACTCATAGCCCTTTTCAAATTCCCATGTCGAAGTTGAAAGCATTGGTGTAGCCAGTACCATGATCTTCACTCTCACAAAGGCGGTATACCTTAATGCCAAACTGTGTCCTCTTCGTCCAGTGGAATTGAATTGCATGGTGATGTCCCCTATATGCACACACTGGCTCATCAACCATGATCTTCATACCTGGGATATAGACCGCCTTGAAGGTTTAATCAAGGACATCCAACACAGGCCGTAGCTCCCATAAAAGGTCGGGGTCGGCTCAGGGATCCTTGTCCGAGAAGTGGACGCGACATGGGTGAGGAGATCATCCATTTTTCAACCAATAATACCGGGAGTAGGTGGAGGCTAATGGACAACTGTAGCTCCTCTGCAGTCATATTTTCAAGTCTTCATGTGCAAAGATGAGGTGTCTGGCATCTTCTCTACATACCTAAAGGTCTCCCTTGCCATTGTGTTCCATAGCTCCGAAGTCAGGAATCAGTCCAAAATCTTTTGTGTGGTTAAGTCGGCATTGGAGTTGATGGACATATTGTGTGCAGACATGTAGTCCAACTCCTCCCACTCAACGTCACTCTCTGATGCCTCATCAGGCGTGAAGTCAGCATTGTCGTCAGAGTTGTCAAAGTTGTCCATCTCCCAGTTGGAGTCTCTGAATGTTGGGAAGGTGAGTGAATCATCCAGGATTGGCAGGTTCGGCTGAGGAGTTGAGAGCCTTCTGCATCTCTCCTTGACCAGACCCGGTCTCAAAAAGATAGAGGTGAGACTCAGGAGCATTCCTGAGGTTGATGGTCAGGTGTTGTCAGGGGAGTCATAGAGGTTCCTCATAACAGCCGAGTAACTGTGGGAAAAATGCTAAGTTAAATTTCAAAAAGGAAGTAAAAAAGTATAAAAGAAGAAAGAAAACCATGTACACAATGCCAAATGAACATGTTAGTACTATTCATCATTATTCTTGCCTTGAAGAGCAACAGTGATAAGTTCGAATTTGGAGGGACATTTTAAAAAAGCTGGCAGCAAGACAGCAATGACAAAAGTCTGACTCGGAATGGAAAAAAATGGCCCCCCCCTCCATTTATACAATTCCTGCCCGTGATATCAGGGGTCATTGACCAATCAGAATGACCCACTTTAACCAATTACATGATCTCTTGTCAGCTGGGGCAAAAGGATTAGGGGGGAGGTGAGACCTCTGGGAGGAGGGATTGATAGGCAGCAGGGAGGGCAGAGGGGAAAGGGGGAGGGAAGACCTAGGGGAGGAGTGGTGGGTAGGCACCCACCTGATGCCTACCCATCCCTGATCCCTGAAAACTCCCCTACCCCCTTTCCCCTCTACCCCACCTGACAAGTAGTCCCATAACTGGTCAAAGTGGGTAATTCATAATGCCCTACCCACCTCTCCTCCCTGAGGTCTTCCCTTCCCCTCTGGCCCACCTGAAGGTGGGAGGGAAGACCTTGGGAAAGAGGGTGAGAAGCTATTCTTACTGCAAGCTCAATGAAGGAGTGATTTACAAAGGTAAAATTTGTAAAGTTAGAATAATAGAAAAAGACCTCTTGTCCTGTATAGCAGTGGGGGAACAGGGGAGGGTGAGGGGGGAAGAGAAATGCATCTTCTTGCGAGCACCGAGGATGAAATTTTGCTACCTATGGCATGTTGACCCCGTTTTTGAACCCTTTGAAGACAATTGTTGGCATAGGCCGATGCCCGGAAAAGTATGTGCTCCTTGGCCATCGGCATATGCCGACAACCGGCAAATGTTGGTTAATTACCATACTACTTCTTTTTGATTCATCCCTTATTGCTGTTTGTCCTATACTTTACAGATATGCAGCAGCCCCCTCTGGAGTGACGCTTATGTACCCTGGCACTCTGTTAGATCAGATGTTTGACCCAAGATCACAGGCTTGGTATCTGAATGCCCTTGCCAACCCAGGCAAAGTGGTTGTTTCTGCTCCTTATCTTGATCCTGGTGGTGCTGGACATATTATTACCATCTCTCACACTGTTTACCAGGTAATACAAGTTACATAGCAAATGAGATACTGTTTTGTACCATTATTATTTTTCTGTGGACTAAATGTATGTTCTTTACAATTGTATAAATATCTTTCTAGGGTGGCTCAGCAACAATGCATTCATCAACTGATCCAGTTGTGGCTGTCCTAGCAGCAGACTTCACACTTGGCTACTGGTACAAGTTGATACTTGACTTAGAGCCAGCATGTGCAAATGATGCCCGCTCAGGTTTGTATAATACTTGCATGAATCCATCAAAAAGAAAAGGTTATTTTTAGACTATTATTTCAGTATGCTTGATGCTCTCATGATATGAGAACCTGATGGTGTAAAAAATGTTTGTTAATGTGTTAAGGTATATATATAATTTTGAATAAGATACCACAATCTATGCACAACAGTTCCACAGGTAATTACTTGTCTCAAAGTAGTATTCGCAAAGATTATAAAAAAAATATTTTTGAGAGATTGCAATATTCTTTATTGTGTTTTAAGGAACTATTGTATGGAATATCAAAAAAGCCATAGTATATAAACACACATTATTATCAACATAACAGATGAGAAGTCTGTGAGTGTGAGATGCTTTTTGATGGACAACAAGGGATATTTGGTGGCCCATCCCTCCATGCTTTCTCCATCCTCACCTAATTTTGGATCAGACACCCCACCTCACATCACACATCAGGTGAGGCATTGCTTGTATGTGTATGCATGTGTGTAATTTTGTTGTGTTTTTGTGGAATCTGTATTTATGACTAACGGTGACACTGTTTGTGTCCTTAGCCCAGTGGCACTAGAAAACAGTCAGAGTGCACTGGCTGCTGATGGGAGGTTAATTGAATATCACATGCTGGGCTCCCACTTTGAGTAGTTACCTTGGGTTGCAGTCATATTAGTTATTTCAATGTATTTTCAAGGGTAAGGAAATCTTAATTTAGTATATGTGGTAATTAAGGTTTGACTTTATTGGATCTGAAAAATATGAGGAATGGTCTGAGGTAGTATCTGAAAATTAATGAATTATGAAATTAGATATAAATCTTTCATATTTCCTATGAATTTTCTTCAACCCAAATGATGATTCATACTGTGATACTTATGAAAATGAGAAGAATGGTAAGGTGTTATTACTGGAAACCCATGACAAAAGAGTAAGTCTTCATTTCATTCTCCTGTTAGAGGAGGGCCATCACTTTGATTAAAATGATGCAGTCAATTCATAAATCTTCTAATTCATTAGAGAGAAACACGTTAGAATCTTTTTTAATGAAATATGGTATCTAATTTACTATAAGTGATGGCCAGTGAGTTATTGAAGTACTTCTGTTTTTATTAGTACAAATAAAGTTTCCCGGGATAACTATATCCTGTCACTTGGGAACTGATTCAGTTCTTGTTTCAACTGTCTTTCTGTCTATTATAAAATTTTGTTTAATTTTACTGTGTCCATCCATTGTGATAGGGAGCTCTTGATGGCTTTGAGATTTTGTTTTTATTTTGTTTCTATTGTACAGCGTTTCATTTAGCTTTTGGTTTATGAAATTAAGATATTAAAGGATTTGATGAAATTTAGGGTTTAGGTAATGTTTATTTTTCTGGGTGTCTCGTATGTGTGACACCTGTTGTAAATGGGTTAAATAACTGTATTGCCACTGTTGTTGCTAATAAATTACATTTTGTTAAAATTTGAAAATTAGAATGAAGTAATCTAGAATATTTTATTAGCCTATCCATTTTTTGTTTAGTACTACAGCAGAAGGACAAGGCTAAAGCACTGAACTATTTGAATAATGAGCTTCTGATATAATGCATACATTCCATGTGATAAAAGATATAAGAGAATTTTAAAGAAAATTAATAGTTTTGAGTTAACACCCATGATGAATGGCATTTGTTCTCAAGCTGAGGGTATTTCCTCCTTAGGGATAGTGTAGCTGTTTCAAGGGGGTAATGAGGCACTTTTTAAAAGAAATATTTAAGGGATTCCTCACTCATGTTTGTGGAAGTCTTACCTTCATGAGCCAAAAAGGAGGTGTGCAGTGATAATAGGTACCCCTCATTGCCTTTAATTAGTGCCGTCTTTTCCAGCGAATACGGCAAACGCAACACCTCATGAGACAGGAATCGAGCAGACTGTTAATATTTATTGAGTTGCCAGATGCATTCCTCTTACTTCAGATATATCATGCATATTCATACTTATATTGGATATCTATAACATAGCACATCCCACCATAAGATATCAAAAGCCATCTAGGATATTACATTCCAAAATACTGTGTACCGGTCGAAACTATAACAAGTACAGTAAAACAGCTAACCGTCAACCGTGGCCATTCCCATTACATCACAGAAGTGGGAGGAGCTTAGCGGCCTGTCTCACCGCTGATCACGAGACAGATTTGGGTGATGAGTCACATCGCATGACACCCTAATTGCTAACGGAAAAGATGGCAAAGTATGAGCCATTCATTGGTTTTCTATAAAA